ACAAGTGACAACAATAAAACCCATATGTTGGTTGTGAAATAGACTTAAAACATTTGTCTCAATAATACAGGGGAAACTGTGCCCTTTTCACAGTTAGGGTGTCAATACACTGAAGAGCTTAAGTTTCAAATTCCAACATAAATCTTGCCTATAATGAGAGGAATGTGATCAGGACTAATCTTTTAAGTGCTGTAAAGTAATTTTATTTGAAACTTATGGTGTCTGTATCATTTGGTAATCTCTTGTAACAGAATGTATCATGTAACTAGGGTCAGGCAGTGTTATTCAAACCACCTGTATTGTAAACTATTACATACATTCACTAGTAGTGGTAAGTAGTTTTGTCTGTATAGTGAAACAACAAACATGGACATATGTTGGAATAAACTTTTTTGAAAAATCAAATAAATTATATTCAAGTACCGAGAAGCTTTCTTACTATCATATCTACAGTAATGTTCAAATGCGCCTGCACTGGACTGAACAAGAGTGACCACCAACAGGCATGACAGTTTATGGCAAATGTACGAAGTTCACGCTGCTAGCCTGACTTTTTTTTTTTTTCCACAACAAACAAAAGTATGGCTGCAATGAAACATAAACTTGAAATAAAAATACATTTATGAAACAAAATTAAAATATTTTTTATGTTCATATATAAATGTGAAATCCTAGTTTAAAATAACAAAATACTAGTTTATTGTTTAGATTTACTTAGAAATATTATTTTCGGGTCTTGTATATTACTTGAAACCATAAGGAGAGTACCTGATTATTAAATGGACGATAAAAAGTTTTAGAGATTTTAAAATAATGTACTAAAACATAAAAAGTAATAAATTAAAATCTGGAACAAATATAAGAATATAAATTATATTTCTTTAATTAAACTGCTAATTATATATTGGTCAAAAACTGCATCAATCAGCTGCATTTTCATCAATTTTTTTATTGTATTATTAAGTCTTGACACTTCCTACTATTTGATTATTTATATAAGCAGTATCTTAATCCTCTTTGTTGCATAAACACGTCTCAATTGTTATTATTAATGATTCAGTTTTACAACATCAGGGGTCATGTAACTGGATGAACTTTGCCTTAAAGGTCTGATTTTCAGTTTGGTTGGACAACTGTGCCTAAGGTGACAAACAGTATCATCACATTTAGTTTCCAAAGCCTTGACATAAGCCAATCAAATCAACAAAACACTGCATGCTTATCCATATTCTCCAAATTCTGCATGCATAATGTAAGAATAAGATAACCAGCACACTCAATATGATTTACCCAACAAGAGTATGTCAAGAACAATTACACACAGTGGTTATTATTGAAAGACTGTCAAAGAAAAAAAAAAATGTTGACTGTTTATTGTAATGATAAAAATAAGTGGATTAATTATTATCAGTAGATTATGGAAGAGTGTTAATGATGACTGATAAAGATGTTGTATCTTTTTTGACACATGGATTATTGTATTTTTGAATGGATTGTTTGTTACAGGATTAATTATGCAAGGTATGCATCATTTAAGAAGTACCATCTTAAATTGCCTTTATACATTAATTTACAAATATAATCAAATCAAACCCAGATATTATTGCCCATAATATTATTCACTATTCTTCGGTTGCTCAGAATGTCTCTAGAAAATTGGTTAGGTTAGGAATAACATTCTGGCAAAAATGAAAGGCTGATGAAAAATTATAAAACTAAAAACCAAAACATGTTTCCCCGAGTTTTAAATGAGAATGTTTTCAGCTAGTGTGTGCAAGATACCGAGATATTTTGGTACTGTTCAATTTGCAAAGGTATGGGAAAAAGCACTGCTAATGCAAGTGGACATGTAAATCTTACTAAAGACAATAAATCCTGATTGAGATTCAAAATGTAAGTAAGATAAAAAAGAAAGGAAACATCAGTGAATTTAGAAAATACTTTTCTATTGTTTTGAATGAAGGCAGATTGTTTTATTGATTCATACTGTAAAAAAATAAATAAATCAATAAATATAATGAATTTTCTTAGATTCTGATGAAACCGTTTTAAATTTAAAAAATATAATCATCAGTATTTAATGCTTTCAAATGCATGAGTATATGAACACACACAAGCAATGAAAATACTTAACCTCTAAATAAATAACATTTCTTTTATCAAACAGTTTTTTCATGTTGAGAATACATTTGATAGAAATATGTGAAGTCTCCCTATTTTCAAAAACCTCTCCTTGTTGACACCTGATGGGAAAAGTGACTTCTCCATGTTTTGGGAGTCTGGTTTGACATCTACAACATGCTTCTCTCACACACCTAAAACATAGAAACTTACCTATTGTTGCATAAATTCAGTTCTTTTAACAGAGTGAGTGTTGACAATTCCAGTGGAAGGTCATTCAGCTGGTTATTTCTATAAGGAAATATTAAAATGCCTTAATTTCAAAAACTGTATACAAAATGAACATGATAAAAACTTGTAATTACTACAGAAATGTTTTATGCAAAGGCACATATACTAACAAGTAATAAAAAATTGTGCAAAAATTGAGTATGATGTAGGGATGGCAATGTCAAAACGTACAGAAACAAGGTAGTGATGAATACACAAAACCATACAGAAATCAATACATAAGTAGCCAAATCTTTCCAAGAATAACAGTTATATACAACTAAATGTTGAATTCCTGCCAGGTGCATGAATTCAGGTTTGAATAAAAGCATTTAAACTGAATAGTGCTATACAGTCTTACAGTGGCTAATAACCATAAGCTTGCTAGGATCATGTTGATTAATAGGGAGGACATCATACAGATTCCAGGCCATGAAGTATGATACCATGCATACACACACACACACAACTGCCAGGTCTGGCTCTACTGAAAATTTGAAGACAAGTAGACTGCTATATAATGTATTGTTTTCATAATTAAGAAACTGCTGTTTTTAAACTCAGACATCAATAACATGTATACAGATCTGCCAGTTGCATAAATACTTGATCTCCTTGATACACTGAATATTAATTTAAAGTATTCTTTCTTTCTTTATTTATTTTTACTAAATTTGTTTTTGCAGATATCATGTTTATTCAATGAAAAGTCACAAATGGTAGCTTTTTAAGAAAATGTGTGCTGCCATCTAGCGATCAGGAATGAAACAAGGAAAAAAATATATGCAAAGTAGTAGTTTTCCTTTTTATTACTACCCCACAACAATATGTGTGGTATAAGAACAGAATAATATTACTGTTATACACTCAATAATGGCAATTAGGTGCTCAGATAAAGCTATAACTCAACTTCAGCAGTTATTTGTAAGCATCATAGAGTAACAGATTGAATGCAGCAGCCATTTTATTCTTGACCCATCCCTACATATCAAGCACTACTGTGCTCAGTGATACTTGTTATTTAATACCTCCTACCAGTAAATACACTTTAATGAAGCTTCAAAAATGAATTGCTCTTAAATTTAAGATTACACAGATTTATCTAATTTTAATACATATATTAAGTTTGGATAATTTTATGTTAATTATCTCAGCTCTCCAGAAATGTTATAATATGCATATATAAAAAATAAAGCAATGATTCTAGCAAACTAATTTAACATGCAATTAAGAAATATTATAGAAAACTCAAAATAAAGAGCATGAAGCAGATATCTTTGATTAGACTAAAAATAATGCATTGTTCTTATACTTGTGTAACTAATATGTTGAACTTGGTACACAGTAAACATGAACACTTGCACATGTAATGATTTCAGGTCATACACAACCAACAATCAGTGCTTTTTGTCCTTCCAATATTCATCTGTCATCACTTCCCCAGTGTGAAGAGAGGGTAGCAATAGGTTAAAAACGTTTTTATATCAACAGCTAGCAAGTATCTTTAGTAATGTAGGCAATGGCTTGACTTGCAAAGTGTTTGAAATTAATATCACACACCTGATTTAAACAAGTTTGATTGTACTCTGTAATAGGTGTTAATTATTGGAGTAACCATGACCTTTAACGTGCAAAATAAGCCCACCTGGACATGTCTGGCAGCAATTAAATAACCAATATAAACACTGCTTCTGGTGTTGTTTTTTGTGATCTCAAATATTGACATCTGAGAGGTTATGGCCTTTTAAGAACAACAACAACTCAATATTAACCAATGTTTCACAAAGGCAATGGACAAAAAATTCCAGAATCTAACTAATTTTTTTTGAGGATTTAATTTAAAGATTTTAAAAGAACATGAACTATGTATAAAAATTGATTAGTTGATGCTTTATTATATTTTATAAAACATGCAGCAACAGTTGTACAAGCTGTTATAAAAAATAACTAACATTTTTGCAATAAAAAAAACACTTATTCAAGTCACAAAACAAGCAATTAACAAAAAGTTTATATAAAAGTACTTTACTAAACAAAGCACTAACAGATTTTTTTATCATTGATAGTGCCCTAAGTATACTTCAACTTTTCCTAATTTCAGTTTAATAACAATTCATAAAGCCTTGCTTCTTTCTTTCAAATACTGTACACTGATTGGAGTAACATTTATCGAACATATTATTTTAACTTGCCAGTATTGTTACTGAGACCTCTCTCATATTGTTGCACACATTAACAATGTTGTATATCTAATAGCTTTTCCACACAATCATACCATTGTTTTTCAAGTTTTCTTCATTAACTGATGTAATTCCAATAAACAAAATAATTTCCAAAGAACTGGAAATATTGTGGATCAATAAAGTCTTTATATTTCATGGTGGGGTTCAACCTCTGTATTGTATTGTAGAATAACCTATACGCACATTTAAACAATATTTATAACAACAATTGTTTCAAATAAATTTATTTGTTTTAAGGGGTGTTGTCACGTGTATGAGTTATCACAGGATATGATGATTACAAGTAAAGTCATGAACCAGTTTTTAAGAATTTTAATAATTTAAAATTAAAAGAAATCCTAATTAGAACACAAACAGAAAAAATAATATCAATAGCATACATCACAACACTGTGTTTACAGTCCTGATGGTCCCTTCATATCAGAATATTGTCTTCAAAATATTTATTAATGTGGTCCAAAATGTCACTCTAAATATCATGGCCTAAATCAATCACTGTATAAACAACAAGTAACCTAATCAACTGACAGATTGTTTTTAATGCCAAATAGTTGACCTATTTCATGCACAGCAGTTAGGCTTAGAAATGTTGTTAATTAGTTTGAAGTGTTTATTTTGAAGATGAAATTAGATAAATTCTGAAATGTTTATGTTCTTCACCCCATTCAAAATTTTATAACTTTGGATTTTCTTTAAACAAATCTTGAACTTATTTTATGCTAACGATATCAGTCCAACAATAGTCATGTATCACCTGTTCCCTTGCAGATAAAGATATATAGTTCAAAGCCTGTTAATGACAAGTAGTGCCAACTCAGCATATTTCCCATTTATGAGTTACATTTTCTAGAGATAGTTTTTGTCGAAACTGAGATAATAAGTACAACGATACAACTTGTAAATAAAACAAAGGATGTGGAAGCAATGGGATTTGACTTTCATAGATGTTTAAGGATCATAACGACAAAAAACATGGATTTTCCAGGATTTCAAGTACTGAAAAATCTTTTTAACATTCCATGACTTTCTAGGACTTTCATGACATGTTTGAACACTGTTGACAAAGTGTGTCAGCAAAATATCATAATGGTTTGGACCTTTGTTTAACGTCACCATTCACCTTGAAGTCAGCCTAATTTTAATAAACACTTGTTCTACCTCATATTCAATGATGAAAGTTCATGGTTTGGTCTTTCTTTACATTTTTACAATTGAGGATGTAAACACAGAACATGAACTTTGACCACTGAATCAATATCTAAATAAAACTGGGTTGTTATATTTTCAAAAAGGTCCAGTACTTAAATCATACACATAAACTTATACATACAAGTATACACAAAGTAGGAACTACCACATACTTTGCATATTTGCTAACTAATTGAAACACCTATCACGTTTGATAGACTTCTTATGAAAACTGTAGATGGAGAAATTCTATACAACAGCTACATTTACAGAGAAAAATATCAAAGACCACAGGAGAAGAAAATTGACCTATATAATGATCAATCTCACTACGGATAATAGCAAGAGAAATTCAATGATGGGTCTCCGCGACCTGCAGCCTGTGAAAATAGTGCTAGAGATATAACACCCGAAGTGGGAACATGGACCTCAGAATTCATTG